AAACGGAACATTATTATCAAAAAATACTTACTCAAGAACTATATACTTTCTGAAATCACCTTCATAAGAATTCTTAAATAAATGATTAACAATATTATGTTAATAGCTTATCCAGTAGCCTAAGTGATGCCAAAACACTTTTATAAAACATAAAAACTTGTTACACCTTTAATAAAAGCCCTAGAAAATTCCAAAGGGAAAGTCACCCGGTATAAACCGAAAGTAGTGAAACCTGCCCTTGGACAAACATATATATATTTGTCAGTAGGCATATTTCGCTACATCCACTTTCAATCACTTACATTTCCTAAACCGTACAAGCTAAAAATATGCCCAATGTACCAATAGCAAGCTTAAACCTTTCTCTTCATCACCATGCAAAAGAAGTAATTTTCATTTAACCGCTACACCTAATTAATTAACAAATTACCCACTTCTGTTTATACGACTAACACCCGGAAAAGTATACATAATAAAAATGCGTATACATATGAAATTACTCTGTATACATTAATTCCTCACTAAAACATCTATTAAAAGTATGTATGAAATCTTTACAAATTCTTATTAGTTTACAAATTGTTTATAACAAATAAACCAAAAAACATATACATATGAGCTGCTATGTATACATGAATTCCTTACCGAAATATCTATCAAAAACGTATATAACATCTTCTCCAAATCCCGATTTGTTTATAAACTATACGTAACAAATAAATAAAAATATTCATTAACAATATATTTTTCCAACGGATTATTATAGTCCAACAAAAGTATAGCAACTTTGTCATATAAACTATTATCGAATTCTTAGTCGTTTGCAAGATATAAATTAATAACAATTCCACTCCATAAGCGTATACACTTCTACCTCGGAATGACTATATATAATGCTTGTAACTAACCACTTATTACTCACAGAAACTCGTTCTAAATAATAATCTAATCGTTATTACTGGACAATATCGATGTTTAATAAGAGAAAAGAAGACTACACTCGTAGCGATAGTAAGACAGAGAGAGCAATACTTCCAAACCTTTAGACATGCTATTTAGGATTTCTATTGTAAGAAACTCCAACCCTAGTCTGTGATATTTTATGTAAAGCACGTCTAAAGCCCAGAATCAGATTTTGACAACAATAATATTATTTATTAAATAACTAATGTATTTCAAATAAGTTGAGATTGTCTTTTAAATTGTTTCTTAATATCTTGTGGATAATAGTTCTCAAAATCACGAAAGTATTACTCTCGTAAGCA